CATTGCGGAGGACTCCCAATTCCCGTGGCCTTCCTGAAAATCCAATGCCACCAGCCCTCTCTTCCACCAAGTGTCCTCTCCAGTTCCTCGACTCGCTCGCACACGTATTCAACTTGCTTTTCGAACTCGTCTACGAAGTCTTCCACATCTTCTACCTTACCTCTCAGCGCAGTGATCTCGTACTCAAGCTTGTCGTTGACGTTATCCAATTCGCGCAGCGACGTGGCGAGTTGGGCTCTATTATTGGTGATGACGGCGTGCGTGTTCTCGCGCAACGAGTGATACGTATCGAGGCGCGGATAATAAATCGACTCGAGCGTTTCAATATCAGCGTCTGCAGCGGCGTCTAGGTCTTTGATGTCATTGAGTCGTGTCTTCACCCAAGACGTATCTGTGGCCGACAACACAGCGAGACGGTGATGCAGGCGCTTGAGCTGATCGGACTGCAGAGCGTATGTGACTTGCTGCTTGCCGAGCGCGACTGCAGACGTGTCAGTGTCGTCGATGGCTTCTTCTTCAATATCAGCGGTGATCACACTCTCCCATGTCAGGACGCTTTCTTCGGCAATGCTGAAGGAGAGATGACGCGGCCACCAGTCGTCGCTGTGCTGTGTGTCGTAGAGCTCGAGTTGGTCGGCGGACTGTGTGCGTCGCAGCAGTGCGGGAAAGGCGTGCACTTCCTCAAGAGGCAACACTTCGTTCAATTCGACACCATGATAGACGGATCCGGCTACTGACGGCTCGGCGGTCGGTGGCTGGGTTGAGGCCTCCGACTCTGCGACTGCGAGTTTCGAACCTGAGGATTCTGGATCACCATTGAGGGTTGGCGCAGCTTTGTTCAGGGCAAGATTACTAGCCGAATCCTGCGGGGTCTCTGTGAGGACCTTGGTGAAAGAGGGCTCGAGATCGGTTGCGACGCGTTGTGGCGACATGACTCCAGAAAACTCTGTTCCGTCTTCGTAAACCCCATCCAGATCATGCTGCTGTCCATTAAGACCTGTTCGCGATTCATGAAATTGCAGCCGTGTTTGCTCGTCTCTCGATAGTTTGCTGGCATGGCTTCGAAGGCCAACGGCGTCTTTGATGCGGTGGAAGCCCCGCTCAGGGTCGAGTCTGGCTTTGATGGCCGCACGCTTCGACAAAGGATCTCGATCTTTGGCTTCTGTGCCATCAGGACTGAATATCTCTTTCTTGTAATCATCTCTCGTAGTCTCTCGTCGCGGCAACTTGGTCTCCTCGAGGGTTGGCTGTCTCTTCAGAGGGTTTCTGCTTCGATCTTGCAATGCGACTGGAGATACCTGGCCGTCTTCATCTGGTAGCCGATCAAACATATCGCCAGATCCTGTCTTTCGAGCGCGACCGTACCACAACCACTTGGCGTGGTCGCCACGTACAAGTTCCACAAATCGGTCGATGTCTACCGTCTCAACTTCAGCGATACCATCTTTCTCTCCCGCGCCTACGATGCCCATCACCATTTCACCGCCCTTTCCGCCAAGTTCTGCTACTGTCGATTTGAACGCTCTCGGTACGCCCCATCCTTCCTTAGTCGCAGCCTTCGCTGTTGCTCTGCGTAACTTGTCAAGCGTCTGCCTGTCTAGTCGCTTGGACCGTGGAATATGGTGGGACTTTTGGAAGTGCGCAATTCCCTTCTTTGTACTTTCAATGTCGAATACATCTTTGGCGACGGGAGCGCCAAGTGCGCTCAGACGATTGCGTGCGCCCATGAGCATTCCCAGCAGAGCAGCCACTGTAGTAGGTCCAAGTATGCCATCGTGCGGTTCGACTGTGTAATATTCTGCGCCGAACTCGACCCACCAGTCGTTGATCGCCTTCTCGGTGACGTCGCAAAGAAGACCATCCGCATACTCGGGCTCCAGCTTTCCAAACAAAACGAGTGCAACCTGACAAAGCTTCACTAGCTCGATGACTGCCCCATTCAGGGGGATCTTCTCGCTGGTGCGGTATAGCTGATGGAACTTGGCCTCGGTCGCACTGCTGGGAGGAGCAAGCTTGATCCCCAGTCGACCTGAGCAACCCAACCTCTTCAAATTCTCATTGACAAAGAAGATTTCTCTGTACTTCCGCATGTCACCGCCAGGGATTGGAATAACGGTCAGGGACGAAGGGAAGCCGTTCAGGTTGGTGATCATCAATGTCCCGTACGGTGTGTCTCTTCTCTTGGCATGGTACTCGTTGAGCGAGTTGAAATACAACTGCATTGCTGGTGACCATTGTGCTTCGTCTGCAGGCACGCTGATGATTGTGGCCAGCACCGTATCTTGAGGATTGCCGGTGAAGGTAGTGATGAGGAAGGTAGGGTGCGTCCGAGAGCAGGCCCATTGCTCGACCAGGTATATCTCGTACCCTTCGATCTTTTCGCGGCGCGCGAGGACCTTGGTTTGAGGATCGTCTTCGAGGTAACGGGATGCAACTATGTCGGTCAAGACAAAGCGCTTGTGACGAGCAGGCGATGTGGGGGATTTGAGGCTCCCATCGTTTGACATGACGTCGGTCGTCGAGGTTCTGGCGGCAGTAGGCGGGCGCGATTGTGTGGTGTTGTTGCGCTCCAGCGACTTGGTCTGCAGAGGAGGCATCTGTCTGCGCAGCTCCTTCTCTGCGTTGGTCACTGTGTTCGTCCGCGACAAGGTGATGTGCCCGTTCAGCGACATGGCTGCGGGATCTATCTAGGCCAAACTATGCGATGCTCGGTGTGTATGCTGCACAATGCTACAAGGGTCGGCCGTTCATGGCGCCAGCGCAGGCCGCAAGAATGTCCGGCGCTTTCTTCCACAAAACGTTGGGGTTGGGGGAGGTGGAAAAGGCGATGTATGCGGTCTATACATGTTTCCAAAAGTCGAACACGATGCGCGGCATCAGGGGTATGGCAATCGTTGCGCTTGGATTTGTCAGGCGTGAGTGTTGGAGGTGAAGGTCTGCAGAGGAGAGGTTCCTGACGGGGCCTTCGGCGGCATGACGTGTGGGGAAGGAGCCGCGGCCGGCCACCCCAGCTCTCGTGGCCGACACGACCATTGCGAACCAACTCCGCCAGCGGAACAGCCATGGACCAGTGGCATGTGATCTGCTGGCCAGAGTCACTCAACACAGCGGTCTCCGTTTGCCAGGCATACCCTCACGCTACAAGGATCTCAACCATAGGCACATAGCGGCCAGCTGCGGCAAGCAGCCATCACCTCCGCCATGGACGACCTCCGCGAACAGATAGAGCTCCTCGAGAGCAGCGCAAACCTCTCGACCAGCATCGATGATGTGCAGAAGGCGATCGACATGCTCACTGCAGCTCGAGAGAAGATTGCAGCAGGTATGTTCACCTATCGACTGACCTAGTGACATATGGCTAACCAGTCTGTGACAGACCCCTCGAAGGCGCCGTTGACGCTTGCAAAGTTACAGGATCCCTTCAAGAAGACCATGGACGCAGCGCAGAAAGATCTGAAGCCCATATACTCTGGTCTGAACAAGTATGGCAAGGCGCTGGATAAGGTAGGTCCTCCCACAGCTGGTCTGGAATCGTTCAGATGCTAACTACCACCATAGAAATTCAAAGACAAACCTCTCCCCAGCGCCGAGAACGATGCCCTATCGTCACACCCGTCCTTGATCAATCGAGCCATAGCCATGCACTTGCTGCGTGAAGGGCAGTTCGATGTAGCCTCTACTTTCATCGAGGAAGCACACCGGCACCCACCGCATCCTGAGCCCACACTGAACGACCCATACCCGTCTAGTAAGACAGACTCCTGGGAACAGGATCTGGCAGAAGGAGCCTTCAACTCAGAGAACCTGCAGCGACAGTTTGCAGACATGTACCATATTTTACATGAGCTGCGCAACGAGAGGAACCTGGAGCCAGCAATACAATGGGCAAGGGAAAGGAGTGATATTTTGGAGGCACGAGGTAGCAACCTTGAGTTCGAGCTCTGCCGTCTGCAGTTCGTCTGTCTGTTCGTTCAGGATCAAGACGATTCCATGGACGACACGCCAGCCAGTCCGTTGCGTGCTTGGAACTACGCAAGGCAAGCTTTTGGCATGTTCTCACAAAGATATGCGCGCGAGATACAGCACCTCATGGGGGCCATGGCTTACTACGAGAATGTGGAAGACTCGCCGTACCAACGCTACTTCTACAACGATTCTGCGTGGGAAGAAGTAGCACACTCCTTCAACCGCGAGTTCTGCTCGCTGCTGGGTCTCAGCGCAGACTCGCCTTTGTTCATCGCCGCGACAGCTGGCGCGATTGCCCTACCTTACCTGCTGAAAATGCAGAGTATCATGAAAGAGCGGCGCGCCGAATGGACAACACAGAACGAATTGCCTGTCGAGATACCGCTTCCAAGTACTTACCACTTCCACTCGATCTTCGTCTGTCCAGTCAGCAAAGAGCAGACCACCGACGCAAATCCGCCAATGATGATGCCCTGTGGCCATGTCATAGCCAGCGAGTCGCTCGACAAGCTCTCCAAGGGTACACGCTTCAAATGCCCGTACTGCCCTACTGAAAGCCACCCTCGAGACGCAAAGAAGGTCGTGCTGTAGGATAGACGTTGTGAGAATGCACAGGCTGAGGCTATGGGAATTGTGGTTGGCTGATCTGACAGGCTTAAGGTCATCAAAGAGCTTGAGAAACAGACAGAGGCACTCAAACACTTGATTAAGGGCTTAGGAACGATCTTGGATTAGGAAGAGCTGGACGGGGTTATCCTGGTTGTGCACACTTCGGAGATCGATACGTAGGAGGACGCGTGAACCGAATCATCGACCAGACGACGCTGGAATGAGAGTAACTAAGCTTCAGGTGCGATGGAGTTGGATTTTGAGGCGTTGGGGAGGTTCAGGGCGTAAGACATTACCATGAATCACATACAGATTCTGGGGCGGCTTCCCACCTCGCTTCGTTCAAGGAGCATAGATAGGGAATCAATCAATTACCAAAAACATGTGTCTATATAAATGCTACACCGATTATTCCCCTCATGGAATCCGTTATGGTCTAGGTAAGCTCAATTCACTCGCCTACCAAACAACTCCAATTAACAAGAAAAAGTGGCTAGGATACATCGCTCTCATTAGCAAGCGCCGATGTGGCCGGGGTTCGATTCCCCGTGACGGAAGCATCTTTTTTGGCCTTTCTAGAGGCTCGTAGCTGCTTTCGGAGTCGTTGTGGTCGTGGTGGTGATTTTTGGTGGTGTGGCTGAGTCACGTGGATCGACGCTAGCGCGGCGCGGCTAATATGTGGGGCTCCACGCGAGCGGACGCGTGGGACGCCTGCCCCGCGTGTCGTGCCTTCTCTTTTTGCAGTTCTGTTGTGGTGACTTACACTTATCTCCATCTTATCACACTCGTACTGCTCTTATGTTGCGGACACAGCACATCCCGGTCTTGAGCGATCTCGTGTGACCAGATGCGCTGCTCGTGTCTCACTGTGCGACTTCTGGTTCACCGACTTCTACCTGTCCTCACGGTCATGCCGACGGAGAGTACAAGAAAATGGTCTGATCACTCTAGCCTCAAGATGACGTGACACGCAATGTCTAGCTCACCTATCATAAGTAGGGATTTCCAAGTGAGCTGAAAGACTAGTCCATCACGCAGCACTGACTCCTACATCTATAGGTATGTTCAGGCTTGATGCTGCCAGTATCTGTTGGCTCGACAGACCTTCGACAGACCATGTCTCCAACGCATACTCCAAAATAGGCATATTGGCTCTGGAGCATTAACGATGCCAGCTCAAAACGGCAGGCCCGCTACTCGATGCGCTCGCATCGACGGCAAAGAAGACGACAGCGACGCAGTCTACAACACGATCCGACTTACTCCTGGCACAAAAGGAAGCATCAGACTTCTTGAAGTCAAGTTCGCGGAACAGAGGCGCAGTGATCAGGCCATGTCTTGCACGCTCTCTGTCGCGACACTGGAAGAGCAGTACACTGCTTTGTCTTACATGTGGGGCAGTGGTCCTGCAAGTTAGGAGGTCTCGATCAACGACAATCCGTTTCGAGTTCGCCAGAACCTGTTCGACTTCTCCTACAAGCCCGGCAGAACAATATGAATTTCGGCGCATCTCACCGATTCTGGATCGATGCGGTGTGCATAAATCAGTCTGACATCGAAGAGAGGAACCAGCAAGTTGGCATGATGGATCAGATCTATTCGAACGCATCGAACGTGCTTGTCTGGCTCGGTTGTGAAAACGAATCGATCGCACGAGCATTGGAATTCCTTGAGGACGATCAAGTGCATCCAAATTCAGAGCCAGAGCCAGACGATGTCATGTTGATCAGTACAGTTGAACTGGTCCACCATCCATACTGGACTCGAGTATGGATCGTGCAGGAGTGCATCCTCGCGAACACGCTTGAGATACAATGCGGTGCTCCACGCATATCTGCAACAGCATTGGATTGGGCCTCCATCCAACAACTTGACGCATCTCCAGAGAAAAGGAGGTGGAGGATCCTTGAATACAATGAGCGAGGTCTCCTGCTCGAAGTAATGCATCTGCGCAGACTTTGGCAGTCAGGTCCTGAGAACTGCCAAGACATCACACCATGGTCACTCCCTTGGCTTTACATGGATTCCTCCGATACTAGAAATGTGATATACGCTCTCGCCAGCATTGTGAACCCATCTCACAGGGTCATACCAGACCAAAGCAAATCTCTCAAACAGTTATTCTTGAACATGTTGAATAAGGAGGATCTGAGCATGCGCGAGTTAACAACCCTAGCAAAGCGCCTCGGTCCCACGCTGCAGACATCCCCAGGTTGTAGCTGCGTCACTGGTCTACCTGGTAGGAGTGCTGGGCTGACTACCTGAAGCCTTGCCTCGGTTGAGTTGAAGATGGGGCGATTTGAAGGGTAGCGTTATCCGGCGAGATGACTTTGATATTTGGCGAGGGGACTCTGTGGACCAGATAGCAGGTTACTTGTAGCTAACAGAAGGCCTATCATGTTGTAAGATAGCAACAGCAAGCACTTCAATACCTCCTGCAATTTTATCAAAGGTATAGATTATAACGCTTCTCTTAAATATAGCTGGGTTGAAGTGCCTTACTGAATATCAGAAGTGCCTCGCTGAACACCACTAGCCGATTTGAAACGCTGTCTACTAAAGTTGCGGTCCTTTGCTGGTGCACCCAGGACAGATCGATGCCTGGCAGGGTTTGACCACTGGTTGTCTGGATGACTACCTTACAAGTGCATTTGATAGATTGAAGTATTGATTTGTGAAAACGTTTGAGGCGTTCATGTGCACCGAACACTTGCGCATTCAGCTTCGGAAGTCCGTGCGTTTGCAGGATCCAACTTGCGCAAGTTATGTATAGATCCTGGTTGCCTTACAATCCTCTTTGAGATCTTCTCTCCTTTTCTCCTTCGCGACTATCTCGAATACCTAACCACCAGAGCCTAAGCCATTCAAATCTAAGAGACTACAACAGCAGTCGTACCTTAAGCGTACATCAATCCCCGCATCTACGATCAATTCTCCACACAACATCATTCACGCCATGAATTCTCCAGATAGTCTTGCCGTAACCTGCAGTTCGAAACGATCCCACTAGATACAAAATGGCCGATCTACACAATCACTACCCGAGCCCTTATTTACGGTGCCTTCCCCACTGGCGCACCTACTTCCCCGGCATCTTCCGCTCCTGCAACATCTTCGTCAAATCCATGACCCTGACCCCACGACGCATCGCCTTTCTCCTGATCTTCCTGATGCGCACCCTCGAGACTGCATGGGTCTTTCTCTTCGCGGCATCAGGCTCTGGCAGGACGCCCGGCGGGGCCAAAACCAATGCGCCCTGGATCCTGGTCTTGATCTGCATGGTAGCTTTCACCATCGAACTGTGGAACCTGCATTTGATTGTGGAATCTGCAGGAGAGGGGACTGTGTGGGGACGAAGAGTTCCGGAGGGCGCCTTCAGCTTATTTATGTTTTGGATCACGGTGTGGCATGTTATCGTAGTGGGGTTGGAAGTTAGTGGGATTGCGTTCTGGATCGACGCACAGGGGACGTTCGTCATGGAGGGCATTGTGATTGCGATCATAGCAATTGTTGGGTGCGTTGCGAGTAGAGATGTGGGTGATGGGGGTCTGAGTCTGGCATGAGGGTCGTTTTGCTTGCTTGCCGGGAGACCGTGGGGTAGAGCATGGTGCATGTGCGTGGTGTACAGCTTTTTCGCGATTGAGGAGCTTTAGCATATCTTCTAAGGCAGCGATATTTGGCAAGGCACTTCTGATATTTAGTAAGGCACTTTAGCCTAGCTATGCTCAAGAGGAGCGTTATACCTATAGTTGCCTTTAGTAGAGATTATGGGAGGTAGTTGACTGCTTGCTGTGGCAATCTTATAATGTAAGAGGCGTTCTGCTTGCTACAAGTAACTTGCCTCTGCTCTGCCTCTATAGAGCTGCGTCGCCAAATATTAAACTTGCCTCGCCAAATATCGCTGCCCATCTTTATGGGCTTTTCATGAGCGTTGTTCCTTCGTGACGCCCACCTTCATGAGTGTCTCCACCGTGCCCAGTTCATTGGAGCCACCTTTGTACTGGCCATCTCTTCCCCCTCCTATATCGTAGAGAGCAAATCAACAAGACACGAGCTTTCGAAAGATACACGTTTAATACGGCCGTAAATTCATGTATTAACCAAAGCATGGGTATCATCTCGAAGTTATGCAGATCCTTCCATCACCTGTCAGCCAAACCATAGGACCCAAAGCTACCTTACAAGACAAGTATGAACACACGGGGGGTATCTCGCACAGAAACCCGACTTTTCCTCCAAACGCCGACAATAGATTACAAGAAAGTATAAGAAAGACAAAGACCTTGGTTCAGTCGCTAAGGTCGATGATCTCGTGGACGGTTCGCGCTGCCGCCGAAGTTGGTTCTGGTGTGTCGCGGTCTGACACACCATTTGGATCTCGTTCCTCAGGCTTAGGTTTCCAAGACCCGTTCTGGCTCACGACGATAGCTCTCGTGTCCAGAAGCCCCTTTCGCTCGAGCTCCTTGCGCACTTCCACCAGAAAGCCGTCAACACAAAGAGAGCTTGGCCGCGCATCTGCTTTACAGATGGGACAGCGCCACTGGTCAGCGGCGGTCGCGTCACCCTTTCTAGGTCGCGTTTCGAGAAATGTGTCGAGGTCGAAGCACTCGTTATGTAGACATGCTTTGCCTCGGACAGGAGTGTCGCAGATTTTCGAAGCGCTGAACGGGTCGCGCAGGTTGATAGTGAGGGTACTCTCCATCAAAACGATTTCATCGTCATCAATAGCGCTGGCCGAAAGCTTACGCTTGATGTCGCCGATCACGGCCTGAGCGGTAACGGTCTTCTTTCGACAGCGCTGCTCGATGGAGTGTCTCGTCATGACGCCAAGATACTCAACCGCAATCAAGTAGTTGCGGTACGTATGATCGTCCGAATTGCTCATGACTGATACTTCCAAGATGTGCTCACCCTTAGTGATCAGTGGAGTAAGGTCGACGGGCAAGTCTTTTCCATAGTGCAGCTTTTTGCGGCATTCTAATGGACGCCCATTCAAGGAGAAGGTTGAATATGGAATCCAGCTATTGTCTGCAATGGCCCACTCTTCGTCTCTCGGCGCTGGATCTACTGGCCACTTGACACAACGCAAGCGTACCATTTTATGATCCTCATCAATCAACCGAGCCTCCGGAGCCCCTGCAGGCACGGGCATCGCCTGAGCGATGGATTCCAGATCCTTGGTACCAAACGTAAACGATAGCTTCTCGATGGCTGCATTGGCGTTCTTCAATCTCTGCGGTTCGAGTACAAAACCTTGCCAGAAGTAGTAGCTTGGTGAACTCAAGTTTGCAGCCCGCAAGACCGGACTGCGCAAGTGAGCCTGATGCAGACCAAAGCGTGAAGGAACAGGGACTCTTTGCTGCGGCTGAAGGACGCCTTTTTGTGGCAGCAACGGTGTACCGCCTTGGCAAGGTCGGGAAGAGGTTTGCACCTGCGATACTGGGCGAGGATACGTTATCGGTGGCGGCGCTGGTTGTGTCCGGCGAGACATTGCCACGTTCGCAGAGCCATTTGCGGTGTGTATTTGTTGCTGCGGTTGTACCTGCGATTTTGGTTG